GGTTCGCGGCTCCCCTCAGCCGCTTCCGGGGAGCGGCAGCGCCGCCGCGGGGCGTGCCCGGGGTATCCAAGGTATCCACGGTGTCCAGGATATCCGGGGTATCCAGAGTATCCTCTGGTCCCCGCGCTGTTCTCTTTGTCCCAGGGCACGCTCACGGGCACTCAGACCTGCGCGGCGTAAGGCCGCTCTCCTCAGCACAACGCTGGTGTCACCATCGCTAAAATAGTCAAAACTGGGCTCTCGCTAGCTGTGAGGCTCGTTAGAAGATTCTGGTAAAAAGGCCCTGCCGCCGATGTGCGAGGCTGTGCTATTCCTCTGATCCAACATTGCCACCTTGTGCTCGATGAGGAGAGGTCCCTGTGCCGCTGCCCTCCTGAAATCCGCGAGTTGTGACCAAAGTACTCATACAACCCCTCAAGTATTATTATTTGGATTTCTTTCATAGTCAACATCTTTCTTCCCTATTTAATTTTGTGATTTAAGAACTGGTCTCTCCATTAGCCTGGAAACCGCTGTGTCCCAGCAACTTTATGAGGGTGAGGGTGCCTATGTGAATTAAGGGAAAGCTCCAGGGGAAAGGAAAGATCTGCCTCTTCAATTCATCACGGGCTGATTTTTCTTCTCTGTAAGTGGCTGGAGAGCACAATGAAACAATAACACATAAGGTATTTTTAAAAAATTGAAGTGGTACAATATATGTGTTGAAATAATATGGAAATGCTCAGAGAACAATCACAAGAAATCCAGCTCTTAACAAGCTCAGGGTAAGAAAACAATTAAGTGCTCAAAAACAAGCCCATAAATCTCAGTTAACAATCCTCCTGTGCTGTGGTGCTGCAGAGCAGTAAAAACAAAGCAAATGTAAAGCAATCCAGCCACTTTTGCCAGGTAGAAGTCACATACGGATTCCAAAATGAATGGTGCTCCTCAGCAGAACCGTAAATCACACTGGCATTTCCCCGAGTATGAACGCAGGTCCTGCTCCATTTCCTGGCTTCATTTCACCACCAGTCTCAGACTTCATGGGTTCTCTCCCAATTCCCTTTGCTGTCCTTAGCTCAAGGCACCAGAGCAGGGCCGAGGTAAATTGTTCTGACCTTTATCTGCATCCTTTGCACTGCAGGAGCTGTACAGTGCTGACTGTCCCTTCCTGCCAGAGGTGACACCCCAAGCTCCAGACCCCGAAGCCTCTGCTGACCACTGGAGAGCCTTCAGGACATCCCTTTCTTATTTTCCAGTTGTGCACCAAGCTGGACCTGCCCCAGCACCCAGAACCCCCAGCCTGGGGCTGGTCCCACAGCAGGGGAGGGGGATTCTGCCTCTGTGCTCAGGTGAGACCCCACCTGCAGAGCTGCCCCAGCCCCGGGCCCAGCACAGGGAGCACCTGGAGCTGCTGGAGCCAGGCCAGAGGAGGCTCCAGGATGAGCAGAGGGATGGAGCAGCTCTGCTGGGAGGAAAGGCTGGCACAGCTGGCAGTGTTCACCTGCAGAGGAGAAGCTTTGGGGTGAGCTCAGTGTGGCCTTGCAGGGCCTGCAGGAAACATGGAGAGGTAATTTCCAAGGGATGGAGGGACAGGACACAGGGAATGGCTTTCCACTGCCAGAGGGCAGGGTTAGATGGGGTAATGGCAAAAGAGCCCATATTCCCCATTTTTTGCCGCTTTTGGGAATACCTGGTCCAGCAGCAGAGCCCCCTGACACAGTAAGTGTTCACTCAGCCCTGTGCCAGGCCTGTGGCACCCACCTGGGAAAGAGGAAGATTGCTGGGCACAACATAAAACCACAGGAAAGTTCTTGATTGGTTTTGCAGGTAGGATTTGTTCCTACAGAAACAACAGAACTCAGGCTTCAAACCAGCAAAAACCTTTCCTCCCTAATGTTGAATATTTTATTAAGTATTCCCACGTGCAGTGTAAAAACTGCATTCAAAGCTCTGGATGTTCAGGCAGCAGAAGGGCTCATGGCTAAACTAACAGTGTCAGGGACATTTAAGGAGTCTGAATTATTTAAAAAACCCAGGGTTTTCAATAAGCCTGCATTGAATCCAAAGGGATCCAAACCTCATCTTGGAGAGAGCAAAACACTCCTTTTGTTCTAACTTTTGCATTTAAACAGTTTTTGTTCAAATCCCTGTAGGTCATCTTGCCCCTCCCCACCAGTTCTAATGTATTTTACATATTCAACAGCCTTTTTCAACCTTCCTTTGTGTCTCACTTCCCCCCAGGCTTAGCGATGAGTTGGTGCCTCACTACAGCTTCTCCAGTCCCCCACAAGAATTCAACACCACTCTCAAATCCTTGCTGCACCAAACAGCCTTGAAAGATAATGAAAAATAAACTGAACAAGCTTGAATATAAATACGTTTAATTGAGTTCATATAAAAATGTATTTTAAACAAGCACTGAGAGGAGATTAACAATAAATTTTACACATAATTCTTGTTATACCTCGCCCTTTAATACACCTTTGATGTTTCCAATTCCTACATCCACATCCTGAAAACAAATTCTTCTCTAGCTGCCCCGTTTAAACTGTGGGCTCCAGGTTTCCATCTTCCCAATACCTTTCTAACAAGGATCTTCAAAGCAGCATCCACAGCTTTACTTCTGACCACTCCTGCTGCTCCAGCAAGCCCCAAACCAACAATTTACCTGTAATAAAAACCCAATAAGGACAGCTGAAAAGAGGACCCCTATTTAACCCTTAGCACTGACCAGTTAATTAGATTACATTATATATAAAACATGCACATTAAAATATCTGCAACAGAATTTTCCATTTTCTGTGTGTTGTCTGCATCCAATCTAGGCTCTAACTCCACGGGCAGGAGTTACTCCACTCTCTGGCATGCACGGTGCTGCCAAAACCTGGCATCACAGAGTGCCAAGACGGCCCCGCTGGTGCCAGGAGAGCTCAGCAGCACCTTTCTCTCCCAGCAGTGTAACACTGGCACGGGCACCGAGCAGCCAGCGCAGCTGACTACTGCTGGGAGAAGAAAACAAACAAAACTGCGGGGTTTACAGAGCAGAAAAAGGTGAAGGCACCCCTCTGCTGATGCCTCCTCTCATTAGGGCTTCATCCAGCAAGAGGAACAGATAAGTTAAAGATATCGCTGGATAAACCATGTTATTTCTACCCCGAGGACCTGAGGCCACAGCAGCCAGCAGAAGCCGTTTAGTTAATTCAAGCCAGAAAAACCCAAATTTTTGCCCATTTCCCCTCATTGGCTCATGGTCACACCTCACTCAACGTTGCTCCAGAGCTCTCCCTGTGCGTCACGGGCAGGTTATCCCTTCACATCTCCTCTCGGCAGGCTCCAGTGCCCTCCTGGAGATGCCTCCTTGGCTGTCCCAGCACGGCACAGCTCGGCTTTCACACACGACGGGGTCGGGTCACCTCAGGGCTCCTTCGGGCGGCGCCCGGCCACCCACAGCTCCGGGGCACCGCGATCCCCTATCGGCTGAAGGCCTAAAGAGAGCACAGTACAAACATCAAAATTTACCCTTTAATTCCACCTGTATTCATAAAGCTCAACAGCAGCTTGCGGCAGAGGACAAAAGCCAGCAAACCGAGCAAAAGGCTGAGGAATTACTGGTGAGTAGCACAGTCGAGCAACACCCCCAGTCCCGGGGCACCGAGGACTACAGGCCTTGCCGGCCAGCACAAACAGCTAAGTAACAAAAAGTGAGTATTTCAGGTGGCACATTCTGTCCCAGGAACCCCGATCTCCAGCCCCGCTGCGGCCACCACCCGTCCCCTCTGCCCTCCTCACCTCATGGCGGCGGCGGCAGCGGGGTTGTCCTGCAGCTGGGGGCCAGGCTGGGCTGGGAGATGGAGCAGGAGAGAGGGGGAAAGGGGCACTGACTT